ATGCACACACGTACACATATGCGCATGCACATGCACGCACACATACACGTGCACACATGCACACGAACACACACATGCACACGCGCACGCACACATGCACACGAACATGCACATGCACACAAACACACATGCACATGCGCACACACACAAACGCACATGCACACACGCACACATACGCACGCACACGCGCACACACGTGCGCACATGCACACAAACATGCACGCACACACACGCACACACACGCACGCACACATGCACACGAACACACACGTGCACACATGTACACATACGCGCACACACATGCACATGAACATGTACACATACGCGCACACACATGAACATGAACATGCACACACGCACACATACACGTGCACACATGCACACGAACACACACATGCACGTGAACACGCACATGCGAGCACGCACACGCACGCACACATGCACACAAACACACATGTGCACACGTGCGCACATGCACACAAACACGCATGCGCACGCACGCACACATACGCATGCACACATGCACACGAACACGCACATGTGCACACACCCACACACGCACGTGCACACATGCACACGAACACACATGCACACGCGCACGCACACATGCACAAGAACATGCACACACGCACATGTGCACACGAACACGCACACGCGCGCACACAAATGCACATGCACGCACGCACACGAACACACACACGCATGCGAGCACGCAGAGCCCGGAGAGTTCCCACGGGGCCTTCGGAGCAGGAAGAACGGGCAGGGTGGTCTGTGTTGGCAGACAGGCTGCTGAGAGGGGGTCAGGTGGCACTCGGGACATATGATGCATCCATTGTTCTCTCTAATCTTGTGAGGAGACCCCCCCATGGCACCCCATTCAAACCCACCCGCGGAGGCAGGGCTCCACCAGCCTGGGAACCGTCCCTGAGTTGGGAAGAGCTGGCCCTCCCGGGCGCCCAGGCAGCTGCGGACTCGTGCGATCTTATCTGAGCCGAGAGGAGAGGGCACAAGCCCACTTCCTCTTTCCTACAGCCCCGGAGCAGGGACCGGGAGGACTGTCATGCGGTCGTGGCCGGCCACCAGCAGCCGGGTCAGGTCGTGCCCCCCGTCTGTCCTGCTAGGGGGGTGGCGGTCACCCCGATGGACCAGGAAGTTTTACATCACCACTAAAAAGATCATTTCCGTGTAGTAACTGAGTATCGTAGAGAGGTTTTACGAACATACTGGTAACACCGTGCCATTCCTACAAGGCTGTTTCAGGATTTGGCTGAACTCTGGATGAAAATCTCCAAGTTCTGCTGGACGCATCGGTGCTTATTTATTCCGATAGTTGTTCTGAGTGTTTGCCGTTTCGGGGCAGCGCGCGGGCGCCGGGACAAGAACCGGGGGAGGTCCGGGGGGCGGCTGACAGCGCACTGGGGCCTGCAGGCTTTGCCAGGAAGGTGGGTGGTGGGAGGGGCTCGGACAGCCCCCCAGCCCCTGAGCCTGGGGTGTTGATTAACCTGCGTGGTGAGCGGCGGGATGTCCCCACGAAAGGTTCAAACAGAGCGATGCCACATCCACATTTGTATCTTTGTGCACTCGGGGGGCGGGGGGGTCAGGCTGGGAGCCACCCTGAGGCAGGGAAGCAGTCAGGCAGGACTCCTTGGTAGCTGAGCAAATGAGCACGAGGATGGAGCACTCTTTGCAGGCTGGGGATCAGCAGGGAAGGAAGCTTCTGGAAAGGGGCAGCAAACCAGAAAAGATAGGTTCAGATATAGAAGGTTGGGTGTGAGGCAGACGCACACACGTGTAGGACACCCACCTTTCCCCTGCGCCCCCAAGACCGGCCTTAGTTTCCTTCTGTGTTTTCTGTGTAAAGAACAGGTTGCTTAGCACAGTGATCCCCTAGGGCAGTGGTCCTCTGCTGGGGACGGTGCCCCCAGGAGACACTGGCCGGTGTCCGGCAATGTTGGGGTGCCCCGGCATTCGTGGCTGGAGCCCAGGGATGCTGTCCAAATCCAGCAACGGCCAGGATGGCCCCACCACGAAGAGGTGCCCGTGGTTCCGGTGAGAAGCCCCGGTCTCGGGGAGTTTTGTGGTTTGCAGCGTCTTTCTGTCCGTTGGAGAAACCTGTCTGGTCCAGACGCGTACTGCACTAGGAGGTTTTTAAAAAGAGGTGTCAGGTTGTTACTTTTATAAAGTGATAGGTGACTCCCGTGAGCCTCGGCCGCTGCTCCCTCTGCAGACGGGGCCGCTATCAGCTTGAAGAAGGCAGTGATGAGGAGTAAGATCCAAGGGTGATTTCACCGGAAAGATGCGTGGTGCGTCAGCAAGGAAAGTACAGACTCTGGCCCGGGTCAGGGCGACTGCGCCCCTGATGGCGGGGCTGGGTGGGGGGGCAGCCTGCAGGACGGACCAGCATGTGCCCTGGGCCCCCGCGTCCTCGTCTGGGGAGCCCTGTCCAACAACATGGCCACCAGCCAGGTCCAATGTGGCCTGGAAGTAACCTTTCCTTACGACAGGACATCTGACCTCTCATGTCCCTGCCTGCTCTTTTCCAGAAGACCCTTCTTTTTTTCCTAGTCTCACACGCAGTGCAAGGTCATGCAAAATGCAGGCAAATGACAGAGAAATGCTAATATCGTGTAGGAAACGGAAGTGCCTCCAAATTCCCACTGTTAACTCTCTGCAAGACACTCCTCCGTTTTCTGTACATGCACTAATGTACTGTTGTTCCTGCTTGTGCTTGGCGTGTTCACACGACACACGCTGTCCTTCCTGGAGGCCCCTCAGGCCAGCACGAGGAGGCGGGCACAGGGTGGTTGCACTTTACCCTCGGAGGACCTCAGGCGGTCCCCACTGCTGCCCCCAGACCCTGGCCTCGGAGGAGACTGATGGACGCCGGGTAACATGTTCTGTGTCCTGCAGGGGCTTGCTGTCCGTCTCCTCAGATTCTTGGTGGAGTTCTTTGCCTCCTAATTAGAGAGGAGAGTTTTGACAAATAGGGCCTTCTGCTCATGATTTGCACATGTGCAGTGAACTAGAAAAGAAAGGAGTGCCCGGCCCTGAAGCCTCCGCATCCGTGTCCCCAACTGTATCCCCGTCCCCATCCGAGTCCCCGTCCTCCTGTCCCCGTCTTTGTCCCCGTCCATCAAGCTTCCTATGCTCCTGCGAGGGCAGCCCCCAGACCAGACGCGGCACTCTCTTCCTGACATTCTTCAGATAGTAGAGATTTTTGCTTCCCTGCTCATCTCGATCCTTCTTTAGAGAAGACAGTTCTCTGCCTTCCTGCGCATGGGAAATAGCACGTCCTGCTTCCATGGGTTTGTCTTGTTCTCAGCCAAGGATAGAGGACGCTCTGGGTAGGCTGACTGTAGCGGAAGACACGAAGCTTCATCCCAGAGTCCCTCCCTTGTCGTGTCCCCTGTCCTGTCCCCCAAATTTCGGTTACGCAGGAGCAGACCCGCGTCAGCCCAGGCCTCCCTCTGCCCGGAGCCCCCTGAGCTCACCCGCGTGAAAGCTCCATCAGCCTCGAAGTCACAAGCCTCCGTCCCTCCGTCCCATGCTTCCACCTCGTCCCTCCCTCGGCTTCTGCTTCTCTGCCAGGCCAGCTTCTGAGCGGCTTGTCCTGGCCTCATTGCCGTCTCTGCTCAGACCCTGAGCCCCCCCTCCAGCCCCTCAGTGCGCACCCCTCCTGTGCATTGCACCCCAACATCGCCTCCACGCACTCCCTCAGCGGCAGGATTGGCGTCCAGCGCCCGGTGGGGACCCCAGTGAGCGGGGGCTGCAGGGCTCTCAGGATGTGGTCCTGGCCGCATGCGATGTCACGGGTGAGCCTGCGTGCAGGACTCGGGGGGACCACAGCACTGGGCGCGGCACTGGGGAGCAGGGCGTGAGGCCTCCTGACATCTCACGCGTCCTCGTTCGGTTCTTCGAGTCTGTCAAACCAAATTAGCAAGGTTAGGAATTACTAATTTGTAGACTCTCTTAAGTGGGTTATCCCGTGAGTCATGTGTAACTTCTACTAATTTAATGGCGTAATATGACTATTGTGTTCGTCTCTCGTGCAGTTTCTTAAAGTAGTCCGTCGTTTTGTTTGAATATTGAGAAGCATATCACTCCTAATTATTGTGCACACTTAGCTTATCGTAATAACCTCCTGGCTGTTTCTTATCAGACAGGCCCAAGTGTACCGATTGCCCAGGGGTGCGGGAGATCCTGACATTTATTCTCAGGGGTCTGAGATCACCGTGTGAGCGTGTGATCCTGAGGCGGATCCCTGACTCATCCTGGCCCTGCTTGGTGCCCCAGACGCAGACACCGGACAGCTCTTCCCCAGGAGACGGGGCGGAGGGCCAGGAAACGCTGGTGCGGACTCGGTGCGGCTCCAAGGAGGCAGGCCGGTGCCCCACGAATCGAGGAGGATGTTGGGGGGGCAGGCTGTGGGATGGGAGCTGGTGGCGGGGAGCCCACGTGGCCGCCCTGAGCAGAGGCTGCTACGGGAGGAGAAGGCAGGGTGCCCTGGAGGGAGCCCTCGGTGACCAGCTTCCCTGAGGGCCCCGAGCCGCACCCCCCAGCCTTCCCCCCACCCCGGTGCGCCAGAGCCCACGCTGTCCTCTGAAGCCCACTTCTGGTTCCTCTGGAAGAGTATCCCTTCCCCTTGCTCCTGGCCAGTCTGACCCTGTTGGGCACCGTCCCCTCCCCGCCTGCCAAGGCTCCCTGGAGGCCCATGCCCATCCGGGTCCTAGGTGACCTCCGCAGGTAGTGACCTCCAGACCATGTGAGGCTGCCAAGGTGCCAGAGCAGGGGTTTCTACGAGCTGTTACTGAAGCAGAGCACTTCAGCTCCATGGCAGGTCTTACAGCCAACCTGGGACCAAACCACAGCTTACAATGCTCTTCTATGTAAAAATAGATCGGAAATCCTAACAGCAGTTCACGGACACGCTTCCAGAATGTGGCCTGTGCAGACGGGGGCTCGCTGCCCTGGGTCTCCGCTTCCTGGCCCCCAGCCGTGTTGGGGCCCGGCTTGCCTCTGCCATCCGGGCAGCTCCGCGGAGTGGCCTCCTCCTGGGCTTCCCGCAGTGGACAACATGGGCCGCTGTCCGCCCCCAGGCCCATGCAGGGCTTCCCACATCTGACGGGAACCCCAGGCCTTCCCAGAGCCCCTGCCCTCCCCTGGCCTCCGCCTCGGTGGGGCCCTGACTCTCCGGGGCACACGCGGTCCTGGGTCCTGCCTGTCCCAAGGCTCGCCATGTTCTTCCTTCCCACTTGGATTCCTGAGCCAGACTAAGGACAGACAGTGTCTTAAACATCTTTGCCCAAATTTAGCACGGTAGCCGGCCTGGAAAAGTCAGCTGAGCAGATGATTTGAAAAGTTGGCAGTCTACATTTGGTGACTCTGTTGGATAAACGGTCCCATCTTCTGATAACATTGAGTTTCCCAAATGTATTTAGCTCTGAATTTAAAAACTGCATATGATTTTCTTTGTACTTTGGGATGCCTAATGAGAATATTAAAGCAGAACGGTCCCAGCCTTTTGGGATGGACTTCTTGTACTCACGTGAATTCTATGAAATTCATCTGATGTGAGGATGTGGTCTTTACAGATGCTTGCTCTGTGCCTATTTCTGAGATCATCACCGTAGAAGAAACAGACACTCACGGGAAACGCTCCAGCAGCGGAAAATGGCAGAAGATGGAAAAGCCCTTCGCTTTCACAGGTGAGGGCGCGAACTCCCTCCCCCGTCTTCACCGATTTCACGCAATGAAAAGGCGACTTTTTCGTCACTTGTTTGACAAGCTCAGTGTCTCCTTTTTTTAATCTTTTAGAAACTCCCTTTTGTAATTTTTTCCAAGACCGACTTTTAGTTAATGTTTTGATCATCTCGTTTCTTACTTTCTTTGTTTTTTTGTTTTTTATATGGGTTAAAAGGACTGAGAAGTAGGTCTTTTTCCGAATGCCCTGGAAGTGGCTCCCCGGCCAGGCGGCGGGAGCGCGCGCGTGGGTGCGAGGCTGCGCCCTGACGGCCCGCTCTGTCTTGCAGTGCACTGTGTGAAGAGAGCCCGCCGCCGCCGCTGGAAGTGGGCGCAGGTCACCTTCTGCTGTGCCGAGGAGCCTCTGTGTCACCTGTGGCTGCAGGCCCTCCAGGAGCTGCTGGCGAAGCTCAGTACGTGCGCTCGCGGGCCCCCAGGCCCAGGCCGCTGCCGCCGAAGCTGCTGCCCCACCTCGGGCACCGCTTCCTGGAACCGTGTGGTGGTCGGTCGGTGTGACTTAAAAACTGACCAAATACCAGCTAGAGGGGCAGCCCAGTGTCGTGGGCCGCCCCCCACGTGGCCTCCCGGGGCCGGGGCGCCTTCCCTGACCGGCCGCGAGCCGGGGCGTGGGTGCCTTGGCCTGCTGAGCCCCGGTTTCTGTTTCCGGGCAGCGGGCATGGTGATCCCTGCATTGCAGGTGAATGCGGGGCGTAAACCAGGTAGAGGGGACGCACCTCCCACATCGGGGGTGGGCCCCGACATCTGAAATCACGATGGGTTGCTGGGCGACGAGAGTCTGTCTCCCTCTCCTATTTCGTGCTGTCTGGTTATAATCTCTATACATAATCCGGTCAACTCGGTCCTGGGTTTAACCACAGAATACAAAGAGCGTGGGTGCGGGGTGGTTTTTGGTCTTTTTAAGTTAATTTGGCATCTAGATCAAAAAAGTGAGGGACAATTTATTTGAAGATGGTGTGGCCCACATATGAGCTTCAGAGAGACTTCCTCCCCGGGAAGCCTCCTGCATCTGACCGTCTCATCCTGCAGGACGCAGCGCGTGTCCACTGACAGTTCCTTACGTGTCACACCCCGGGGGCTCTGTCCTGCTTGTCCCCTGTTTCTCTGGACTTCCTCCTCGTCCTCACGGGCTCCTTTCCTGTGTCTCCCCCCTCCCCCCCGCCCCATCCACCTGTTGCTTTCTTGAGACTTTGCGTCTCTAGATTTGGGCTGATTCTGTAGGTTCAGACTCCTAGAGGAAGGGCTCTGGACCTGCCCCCCATTAAAAGCTGGGGGGTTATTTTCCGCAGAACTCGTACGAAAGCCTCCAGTTACCAGCTGCCCCAGGCCCCTTGTATCTGCAAGTATTCGAGGGTTCTGTTAGTTCAGCTGCTCTGTGATTTTAACTCTAACTGTGTTGTCTGTTTTATTCTCCCGGAAGTAGCACAGACTCCGGGAAGCGCCCACATCCCATGCGTGCGGCTCGAGGAGCTCACACACCAAGTGCTCCCATGTAACCAGCATCCAGATCCCAAACCAGAACCCTGCCAGCCCCCCAGGGCCCCCCGAGCCCCCGCAGTCGCTCCCCCGCAGGGCTATCACTGCCAGCTTCATTTTGTGCTTCGTAGACATCAGATTACACTGCAGAAGCCCCTGTGTCTGGCTTTTTGGCTCAGCGTTGATGTTTGCGAGGCTAACCCACGTTGGGGTGTGTGGTGTCCGCTGCTCGTCCGGCTGGTGGCACGGTCCCCCGCCTACGACCATGGATTTCTCCATTTTACTGTTGAAGGTCACTGGGCTAGCTCCTGGATGTGGGCACCAGCAGACAATGCCGTTCTGAACATTCTGGTGCATGTCTCGTGCTGGGCACTCGCTGGCCTTTGTCTTGGCTGGGTACGTGGGAGAGGAATTTCTGCGGGGGGCGTGCATGTGTTCAACTCCTGTAGGCACCATCAGACCATCTTCCAGACTGCGGTGCCAGCAACAATCCCCCCGGCAGAACATCAGAGTTCTGGTTGCCCCCATCTTTTCCACACCCTAAAAGTTGTAGCTGTTTTGATGGGTGTCAGGAGTCTTGGGCTAGGGTATTAATTTGCATTTCCCTGATAGCTACTGGAGGTGAGAAATACGTTCCTATGTTTATGGGCCACTTGGAAATCCTCTTTTGTAAGGAGTCTGTTTAAGTCTTTTGTCCATTTTTCTGTTGGGTGGTCTATCTTTTCTTCATGTTATGTAGATATTCTTTGCGTATTGTGGATCTAGATCTTTTATTGGATTTATGAATTACAGATACCTTCTCTCGTTTTGTGGTTTGCCTTTTTACGCTTACTGGTGTCTGCTGATGAACAGACATCCTCGATTTTAATGTAGTTCTATTTCTCTCTTTTTTCTCTATGGTTACTTTGGATCCTATTCGACATCTTTGTCCAGGGCCCTAAAGATATTTTCTCCTCAAAACTTTGTTTTATCTTTCACGTTTAGACCTACAGTCCGTTTGGAGTTGGGTTTTGTGTGTAAGGTGAGTGGTCAAGGCTCATTTAAACACAGGGCTGGGCTCGACCGCCTGGCTGATGGGAAGGACGGCCCTTACCCCGCGCATGCTGACACCACCATGCCGATCTTCACTTCTTGCTTCTTTTTTTTTAAAGATTTTATTTATTTATTTGAGAGAGAGAGAATGAGAGAGAGCACATGAGACGGGGGAGGGTCAGAGGGAGAAGCAGACTCCCTGCCGAGCAGGGAGCCCAATGCGGGACTCGATCCCGGGACTCCAGGATCATGACCTGAGCCGAAGGCAGTCGCTCAACCAACTGAGCCACCCAGGCGCCCTTCACTTCTTGCTTCTGTGTCGAACTTGGATTGAATTTCACTTTGTATCCAATGACTTTGCTAAATTCACTTATTAATTTTAATGGATTGATGATTCTTTTGGATTTGCTTTAAGCAGAATCATGTCACCTGTGAATAATGGCACTCCTGTTTCATTCATCTTAGTTCTTTTATTTCTCTTACACTTCTCCCCTGGGGCGGGTCCCAGGGGGGAGGATCATCTCAGTCCAGCTCTCCGGGGCAGTTTCCAGCATTTCACTGTCAAGAATGATGTTTCTTGGGTTTTTAATAGATTTAAAAAAAAAAAACATTAAGGGTCATCTGGCTGGCTGAGTCGGCAGAGCCGGTGACTCTTAATATTAGGGTGGTGAGTTCAGCCCCATGATGGGCATAGAGATTACTTAAAAGATAAAAATAAATAAAAATTTAGAAGTCAGGGAAAAAAAACATATTAGGGAAGTTCGTTTCTAATTCCTAGCTTTCTAGACTTTGTTTTTTCTTAAACCAGGGCTGATTGTTAAGTTTGATAAATGGTTTTTCTGCATCTCTGGAGTGCTCGTGTGATTGCCTTCTCTTTGAGTTACTGTGTTAAGGACATTGGTTTCTCTTGTATAAAAGCCTTTGTATTCCTATGAAATCCACTTGAACAAGACCCGCTATCTCTTTTTATATCTTTCTGGAGTTGACTTACTGATACTTTGTTCAGGGTTTCTACACCTTGGCTCAGGGGAGAAGCAGAGCCATGCGTGAGTCTCTTGACTGGTTTTGCTGTCAAGCGTTGGTGGCCCCATGCAGGGAGATGAGAAGTGCTCCTTCCTTCTGTTCTGTGGAAGTGTTTTCGTGACATTGGGGCTGTGGTTTTCCCTGAGTCCTTGGAAGGGTTCACTGGTGAAACCATCAGGCCCTGGGGTTACTTTGTGAGAAGGTTTTCATTAATGACTTCAGTTTCTTCATTAAATATCAGACTATTCAGATTTTCTATTGCTTCTGCCAGGTTTGGTAAGTTGTATTTTTTGAGAAAGTTTGTCCATTCATCCAAGTTTATAAATTCATTATTAAGAAGTCCTTTCACTTCCCTTGTAATATGTGCAGACTCTGGGGTAATGTCCCCTTTCTCATTCCTGATAATTAGTAATTTGTCTCTTCTCCCTAGTTCTGTAGCATCTTTATTAGGGAATTGTCAATTTAGTGAATCTTTTTACTTTTACTTTTTGAAAGATTTTATTTATTTATTTGTCAGAGAGGGAGGCAGGCAGAGGGAGAAGCAGACTCCCTGCTGAGCAGAGAGCCCGATGCGGGACTCGATTCCAGGACCCTGGGATCATGACCTGAGCCGAAGGCAGACGCTCAACCGACTGAGCCACCCAGGTGCCCCATTTTTATGAGTCTTTTTAAAGAACCAACTTTCGGCTTTGTTGATTTTCTCTACTGTACATTCCTCCCAGTATTTTATCATGAAGGTTTTCAAGCATCCAGAAAAAGTGCAAGAATTGTATAATAAACAGGCACATACCCACCGCATAGATGTGCAGTGGTTCACGGATTGCGAGCTTTGCTTTGCCAGCGTCTGTGTATCTGTCCATTAGTTCATTGTAATCTCTGCTGAGTTTCAGAGTAAGTGACAGACGTGGGGCACTTTAAATACTTCAGCGGGCATCTCATGAATTAGAGATCAACATTTGTGTACCGTTCTGAGCTAGAATTCCCATACGGTGAAGTGGACAGATCGTGAGTTTAAATCAGTGGTATTGGAACATGCATACACGTAGCTGTTGTCGCCCAAAGCCCTATATGAGACATAGACCACCCCAGAGTTTTCTCGTGATCCTTCTGTCGGTGCAGAGACAGCCACCACGCAGATGGAATGACATCATGGGGGCCCTTTCGAGTAGGGCTGTGACTCTCCACGTGACGGCGTTGACAGGGATCCACGTTGGTTAGTATACCAGCAGTCTGTGCTTTTTTATTGCCCGGTAGTATTCCATTGTGTAGCTGGACCGCATCTGTGTGTCAGCAGCCAGCTGATGGACATGTAGGGTGTTTTCTCTCGGGGCTGTCTCGAACAGTACTGTTGTGAACTTCCGTGTGCAGAATTTTGTGTGGCCTTAGGCTTTCCATTTTTTGGAGTATATACTTTTTTGCTACTTTTATTGATTTGTTAGTTGTTTGTTTTTGAGTGTCAGAATCTATTTGAACTGACCCCACAAAAATGGTGGGAGTTGCTGTACAAACATGGGTGTGAGCCAGGTGAGGAGGCTCTCTGGACGGGACTGAAGCCAGGGGCTGACGGCCTGTCTGTGTCTCACTGTCTGTCCATCTGTCCATCCTCTCTGTCTCCCCTAGTGGGCCCTTCTGTACATCTGTTTCTTCTTGTTCTCTGCAGACTCACCTTCCTTCACTTTCCAGAAGTCACATTTTATAGGACTCTTCATCAGGAGACCGTGTCTGTCTCGGTCAGAATTCTGAATTTTTGGGGATTTGCAGATACACAAAGCTCCTGCCCATTCTGATAGGCTGTCACTTTTCTCTTTTCATAGATTAGGAAACTCTTTAGCACGGTTCTTTAACTTAAAGATACTTTGTTCAGGCAATACTAAGCAGAGTTCTCAAACCATAGTCATTAGATTTTCTTCAGTAATACAGTCCTTCCTGTTGATATATGTTGCATTCACTGTGATTTACACATTGTTGTTTTGTAGCATCGAGACCAAAGCATTTACTGGTGTTTATTAATCCGTTCGGAGGGAAAGGACAAGGCAAGCGGATCTACGAAAGGAAAGTGGCACCGTTGTTTACATTAGCCTCCATCACCACCGAAATAATTGGTAAGGTATAAATTCTGTTATATATATAGGAGTAAATGTGAGAATGATACAAGTGTGGTCACTAGACAAGATTTTTATCTTACAAGTTATTTTAAACAAAGTAAAATGTGTTGTTTTTTTGTTTTTTTTTAAATTTTATTTATTTACCTGACAGAGAGAGAGGCACAGCGAGAGAGGGAACACAAGCAGGGGGAGTGGGAGAGGGAGAAGCAGGCTTCCCGCCGAGCAGGGAGCCCAACGCGGGGCTCGATCCCAGGACCCTGGGACCGCGACCTGAGCCGAAGGCAGACGCTTAATGACTGAGCCACCCAGGCGCCCCAAAATGTGTTGTTTTATATACCAGAACGAGAGCAATACAAAATAAAGAATGTATACTTTTCTAGCCAAGTCTTAGCATAAACAAAAAGCACTCGAGGGGCGCCTGGGTGGCTCAGTCGTTAAGCGTCTGCCTTCGGCTCAGGTCGTGATCCCGGGGTCCTGGGATCGAGCCCCGCATTGGGCTCCCCGCTCCGCGGGAAGCCTGCTTCTCTCTCTCCCACTCCCCCTGCTTGTGTTCCCTCTCTTGCTGTGTCTCTCTCTGTCAAATAGATAAAATCTTTAAAAAAAAAAAGCATTCGAGAAAATCACTAAGAAGACGAAAGGGTAAAGATCAGGGACAGAAAATTCTTGCAAGAAGAGATACAAGCAATTTATAAGGCCTAGAAAGGATTTCACCAATAAGTGACACCTGAAGAAACGTAATGTGGCGCCGTGTTTTCGGCACCAGGTTTTTAGCACAAATTCTCGGAGCTGGGCAGGGCGCAGGGACACTCTTCTCCTCCCCCGACCCCGTGCTCTGAGGTCTGCACAATTTCTGAAGGGCACCAGCAGTGTGGGCAAAGAGCCTTAAAAATGTGGGATGTTTGCCCAGTATCCCAGTTTTCTCACGCTTTCCTAGGATGACAATCAGGTGTACGGGGTGATGTGCACAGAGGTGCGTGGCCACATTTTATAATAGCAAACATTGAAACCACGTGAGCGCCCACTGGCAGGAAACATGGGGCTACAGTTGTGCCCTGTGATTCCGAAGGGACAGCACGTGGACCTTTAACGTGGTCTTTCCAGAGAACTTTTCATTGAAGAAAAGTGGCTATGATAAATGCTGGGAAGTCAGGGGTATGAGACTCCACACAGAGTAGCTTTTCTGTTCTGTTTTTGTTTCTTACGTTGAATACACAGTCTGTGGACTCACGTTTTCTTTTCCTTACGTCTTGGGATATTCTAAAGTTTAATTTTTTTTTTAAGTTTTATTTTAATCCAATTAATTAAAATTTTCAACATAACTGGGATAATAAGGAAAAACTATAAAATAGAAGATATAATCTCTTTCCAAAAAGTTACTATGTGTTGGCAATTAGATGCCAAGTATGTGACATCTTACCTTGGGCATGTCATCTTCCACTGAGGTCAGTGTCCCCTCTCCTTAAGAACGACTTCTTGCAGGAAATCCTCCTGAAGATGTTATAGGACCTCATGTGAAAGGAAGTGTTTGCTTGCTTTTTATTTTAAATTGGATTCTCAGATTTGAATGTAAGCTCTACAACGTAATGTTATTCTTCCTCACAGTTACTGAACGAGCAAACCAGGCCAAGGAGAGTTTATATGAGATCAACATAGACAAATACGACGGGTGAGTACAGTTCCTTTCATCTTGACTCCTACATAGTGGACGCTAATCAGGCTTTACCCATCTTAGTGTTGTTCACTCCCTGTCCTTAGTTTTGTTCCTAATTGTCATCGGAGAAAATTAGAAACAGCAGAAAAGTTCCATCACACCCCCTTCTACGACTTAGAGACAACCACTGGCCGCTTTCCTTTTCCGTCTTCCTACCTATGAATCTTCTCTGGATCATTTGAAAGTCTGTTACAGACATGATTCCCTTTTGTCCCTAAATAGTTGAGTGCATGTTTCCTAGAAATAAGGCTATTCTCTTACAGAACCAAATGCCATGATAACCCGGGAAACCACACGACACCAGGCTCTTACATGTTTGCTGTCCCCGTTCGGGGCCCGCCTGTTGTCCCCTTGTTCCTTTACAGCGGGAGACCTGCCTAGCCCTCTGGCTCTCGTGAGCACTCTAGTCTCAGATCTGGAGCCGCTCCTCAGCCTTTCTTGGTGTGGCTTAGGTTTTGGGAGTACAGACCAGGTGTCCGTCGTGCCCCTCGGTTTGGGCGTGTCTGGTGTCTCCTCTTGGTCGGCCCCAGCTGTGCGTGCTTGGCTGTGGGACACGGGGGGCTGCTGCGTGCGAGGCTGCGTCTGTGCTGTGTCTGTCTCTGCTGGCACGTCAGCCCCTGGAGGGCCAGCGTCCTGGGCCCTGTGCGTAGCTCTCCCCCAGCTCCGGGCACAGGCCTCGCGCGTGGCAGGTGCTCGGCGAACGAGCGCTCGAGACCTGGGGAAGGGCGGCTATCTCCTCAGTGGTGAGGACCCGGGGGGCTCACAGACCGGTGCTGAGGATCAGGTGTGTTGGAAGGACCCTTTTGAAGGCCGTGTGGCGAGTACTGATGTGGGATCGGGCCCAGGACGGCTGCGGGAGGTCAGGAGCTGTAGGCAAAGCCGGCTGGACAGCGGCAGACGACACACACAGAGGGATGGTCTCCAGGACGTCTGGGGGAGAACTGACTGGTCCCAGTGATGGAATCCTACAGGAGACTCGCAGGGACTCGTAACCCAAGTGACAGTGACGTTACCAAGCCGTGAGATAAGGAGCTGCAGTCGGGTCTGGAGACCGTGGTGCAGCCAGTGTGGGGAGCCTGAGCTGAGCTCTCGGCGGGGCGGGTCGGCCCCTGGGGTCCAGGCGGCATGAAGGTTAAGGGCGCGGGGCTGCCTGCTGGAGTCTGGCTGGTGGAGGGCCGTGGAGGAAGAGGTCTGTTCTGCTTTTGTCGGCTTATTTCTTAGCAGTGTGGCCTGAAGGGAAGCACCCGGCTTGCAGGCTGAGGAGGAGGGCATTCTCCGCGAGGAGCGGGGGGGCCCCAGGGGAGAGTGCGGCATTGTGGGGGGATTGTGGGGACAGCAGAGGGACCCTAACAGCCCATGTCCCCCTGCAGAATCGTCTGCGTCGGTGGAGACGGCATGTTCAGCGAGATCTTGCACGGCCTGGTTGGCAGGACGCAGCGGAACGCTGGCGTGGACCAGAACCAGCCCAGGGCAGCGCTGGTGCCCAGCCCGCTCAGGATTGGCATCATCCCTGCAGGTAGGGGCGCCGCCTCCCCCCCTTCCCTGGGGGCATCAAGCTTGGTTTTCCTTCAGGTTCATTTTGTTGCTGAGACGGTGATTTTATCACCACACGGGTGCAGACTTGGTTGAGACAGGTCCCACGGGTGCTGAGAAGCCGGCAGCTAGGGGACAGTCTGCTCTCAAAGGACTGACCAGCTGGCAGGGGTGGGGGGACTGGGGGTTGGTGGGGGGGCTCACGCACTGGGGTGGGGTGCCTTCCTATATAAGATGGGGAGGATGGGGACCAGGGGCTGTTTACCCCGTGGGCTCCTGGGCTGTGTCCCAAAGAGGTCTGGCTCAGTGTGTTGTTTTTTTTGTTTTTTTCAGATTTATTTATTTATTTATTTGAGGGGTGGGGGGAGGAGGGGCAGAGGGAGAGAGAGAGAATCTCCGGCTGACTCCTCACCAAAATTGGAGCCCAATGCGGGGCTCGATCCCACGACCCTGAGATCACAACCTGAGCCGAAACCGAGAGTCGGACGCCCAACGGACTGAGCTCCCAGGCGCCCCTGGCTCATTGTGTCTGTAGGAAGTGCCTAGTTCTTTGAAAAACCACCGTGTTGAGCTAAGGAAAGCCTGTGCATTGTTGCTTCGATGCCACAGGGAGGAGGCGCCCCTGCCCAGCACCCCGGGTCTGCCCCTGGGTGACAGTGATACAGGCTGGGCAAAAATCCCACCTGGCGCATCATGTCACGTCGTTTACAACCACTGTGAAGGCCTTGCCGTCGTGGTACCGCTTTACGGGCCAGGATGAGCAGTCACAGGGCCCCCCCGCTTTACGGGCCAGGATGAGCAGTCACAGGGCCCCCCCGCTTTA